ATTAGTGTGCTATTCACCAGCCCCCTGACACTTCACCATTTCATTCTTAGAGAATTGTGTTCCTATAAGAGTCGCCGCCGCGCCGTAGCGCTAGTTGTCCTTATTCTCGAATCTTAGATTTTAGCGTATCTGACAACGTAACCTCTACAACAAATTGTCGTATGTCAATATCGAGTGTCAAACAAGTGTAAATTAAAAGTAGGAATAAAAATATAAAATAAAAATAAATTAAAAGAACAAAGTGTGATCACAGTGCAGTTTCACATGAATCATGCCAGTCTGTGCTGTGAAGGGGTGTACGATTGGATATAAATCCAATCCTGAGAAAGGACACTTTTTTGGCACTCCGAAAAACTTGGAATTGTTGGGAAAATGGAAAAATGCGACTCAAAGGCCAGATTTACATGGGAAACATAAAATTTGCCATAAACATTTTTTACTAAGTGACATTTTGAGAGTGAGAATTCTATGTGGAAGTGATGGAACAGAACTGGGTCGAGTAAGTAAAATCATTATTAAAATTATGAATGCATTAATTATTAATCCCACTTATCACTCATAATATTCAAGAATCACCCTCTTAATTTTTAGTCGCCACTCCTTAAGCCCAGGTTGGCTGAAGGAACGATACCTTCACAGTTCCCTTGGACCCAATCACCTGTTATCCAATTTTCACCACCTGTCAATGTCACACTTCGTTCAGAAGACTCATTTCACCGCCCAGAAGCAAATAATTTTGCTCAAAAATCCTCATGTGATGATGACATGGACATAAGTGGCTCGTCAATTTCTCCTCAAATTATAACTCATGACAATGCAGATATGGAATCCTTAGTCTCGTTTGAAAATCTGGCATCAAAGGTCGAAATGCCAAGTGGGTGGAGCGCCATGTACATACGTGGAAAACACGATGATGTTTTCGTAATGTTTGAGCCTAAAATCCGACAAGTTGATCAAATCTGTAAATCTTTTGTGCAGAAAGAGATCATTGTCACGAAGGATTTAAATCTCCAAATAAATGTCTTGGGTGAGATGATTGATCTGCCAGCTCTCAATATTACGGAGAAATTACATCATATGAAACAATTGGAGGAAATAATGATTATGCTAGATAAGGCTAATATATGCAAAGGATCCCATGAGCCCAGTGAAATCATCCCCAGTAGTTACACAACAGTGAAAAAGGATGTTTCGGATGCCCTTCGTCATATTAAATGTCCTCTGATTATCTCTAACTCTGTCAGATGTGTATTGTGTCACACTGTGAGGAAAACCATCGCAACTAGACTACGCAGATTTCAATCATCAACTACGCCCAAGAGATACTCTCTCCCCATATCACCCATCCGGAGGAGACAGGTGTCGCAGATGAAATCTAAAATACGCGAAGCTCAAAGAAAGAGCAGAAAATTCCAATCAGAGAATGAAAGGTTGAGATCAGAATTGAACGGTTCTCGTGAAAAACTTGCCAAATACAAAAATAAAACTCTCATAGACCATTTTGAAAATGGTAATATTTCCAAAAACCAATCATTAGTGATTAAACAAATTTTCAATTCTGCAAAGCGTAAGAACAGAAACGGTAAACGTTACGAAGAGGAGTGGATGGTATGGTGCTTACTCTTACATATGCGTTCAGCGAGCGAATATGAACTCCTACGAGACCATGGAATATTGCCCTTACCATGCTCAAGAACTATTCGAAGGTAATGAGCTCAATTACATGCTGTAGTTTCACAATTTTTTGATAGACACATAAAAATTTCGTTCAATTTTCATTTATCTTTCCTGTATTAGATATCTCTCTAAGATAAACACACATTGCGGTTTCGACCCTCAATTCTTCAATCTCTTGAAAATAGCACTTGATGAGAAGACTGAACAGCAAAAACACGGATTATTATTGTTAGACGAAATGAAAACACGTGAAAGCATCACCGTAGACACGAAGACATTGGAATACAAAGGACTTATTGATATGGGAGAGAAACAGAACTCTGTAAATTTCTCTCAGAAAGCTGATTATGGACTGGTTATAATGTTTCAGCCATTGGCTGACACATATACTCAACCTATTGCTGTTTTCGCTTCAAAAGGGTCAGTGAAAGGAGAAACGTTAGCTGTGTTAATTGTGAGGGCAATAATTTTGATGGAGCAGATAGGTGCTAAAATTCATGGAGTGATAGGGGATAGTGCTAGCACAAATAGAAAGTTCTGGACCACTTTGAAAGCCGATACAACGCAGGATAACTTGCGCAATTATTTTGTCCATCCAACTGACGAGAATAGGAAAATTTTCCTCTTTTCTGACACTCCACATTTATTAAAAACTATTCGCAACAAGTTATTTAATCATGGCACTCTCCAGGTCTGTTTTTCGAAAATTTCATAAAATTCTCCTCCCCAACTCTCCTCATTTATTGATATCAAATATTCGACTAGATGCATCCAGGCAAGTCTCTCATTCGATGGGAACATATAAGAGTTCTTCATGAAAAAGACATGGAACAATCTGGCAAAACGGGCAAATTATATTGCAAAAAATTAAAAAAAGAGCACATTGAGCTGAACAATTCTTCCAAGATGCGTGTACGGCTAGCTGCTCAAGTTAGTTCAGCTTGACTTACCATATTAAAATATATGGATTTTTAGACTAATTTATGAATAATCAATTATTCTTAGGTTTTTAGTAAATCTGTAGCTTCTGGACTCCATCTTTTTCGACATAATCCTGAACTGAAAGACAGTGAGGAGACTGAGAAATTTTGTCTTTGGGTAAATGACATGTTCGATGCATTGAATGTGAAAGAAGAACTCAACGGAGTGCAGAAACATGATGTTCATTACAATGTAGTTGCATTTAACTATTGAAAAAAATTCTGGATAAGATATTCTTCACATTTTACCATGTCATGACTGGATTATTAATCATGATTTTTGCAGATCATTAAAAAGGCTCTACAGGACTTGAATACATGGCAAAGCAACGTCGATGATGGGAACATACCAGTCAAATTATTTCTCGCAACACCAACTGCTCAAGGACTTCGAGTATCGTTACAATCAACTTTAGATCTAATCGATTATCTGACCGAAAAATGTGGTTTTCCATACGTACTCACTGGGCGTATTAATCAAGACAGCTTGGAGGTATGATATTTTTCAATTTATTGGAGTTCAATCGTCAAACATTAACTGAATTGAATCAATATAGTTTGGAGTAAAATTGGATTGAGCTCCCCAAAGATTCAGTGAAAGAAGTTTAATATAATGATCACATATTGTATCGAAAGCATAATAGAAACCTGATCAATCCTCTTTCACTTGAAAAATTAACCAAATCTCGCATTGAAATTTGTATCTCAACGGCCTCACATTATTTGTCTTGCTCTTGCTTTCTATGGATGACGCATTTGATGTGAAAATGGTAAATGATTTTGCTTTGGTATGTAGGGTGGTAGTTGAAGCTTTGCATGAGGAATGTAAAATTGAGTCAATATTGACACCACTGTTTAACAAAAGAAAAGTAATGAATGGTTTTTTTCATTATTCTGAAATATTTCGGCCTTGCTATGTATTATTTTGCATCTTCAGAAATTTTTCGGGACAGTTAGAGCTGCTGGCGGCTCCAACGATTATCCTTCCACACCTACGTTCTTACAAATTTATAACATACTGTCTATATTTGGTGTCATCAAACCACCTAAAACTGGTAATTGCTCAGTCAATGTTGATGAATTGAAGAAACCTCTTATAACGCTTGCCGATTTGAAAACTATTTTTAATACACGTAATGATACAACTGTGATGAAGGAGAAGGTAATGGAGAAGTTGGATGAACTGATAAAATATGAAGACTGGAGTCCTCAATCAATAATTACTGATCACTTCTATCAATTGCCTGAAGTTCAAGACTGCGTTATGTATTGTCTCACTGCTGATATATCACACACAACGTATCATGAATACTGTCACTTGTAACGATTGCAAGGATGCTTTTGTTAATCCATCTGGCATTCCAACTCTCCCTGAGGGTTCATTTGTTGCAAAATCAGGGCTAATCCATCCTAACACATATCTTTATCGTTTTGTTGTATCCTTGGAAGAATTATTCTTGAAATATTGTGATTCTCAGCATGTTTTTGAATGCATTCTGGATGGTGTTTGTCTAATGAATGTCACTTTTCCTTGCATAAAACATGGGAGTGAGAGATTGATGCAAGTTATCCAATATTTTATAACTCTACGAATGCAACAATACTGCTTACGCATGAATGCAGAACAAAAAAAAATGAATCAATTGAAAAGGAAATCAGCAAAATTTTATTCTACATGAGATTGAATTAATGCAAATTTGATTGTAAACCATTTTTATGAGGAGCTGGTAATTTTATCACTTAAATAAATATTTTATTCACCAATATGATAGCAATATGTTTTCCTTTCTTCAAAAATACCCAACTCACGTTTCAAACTAGTTAGGACCCTATAATCAAATTTGCCGCTATCTCACGACAAAGGCCAACTAGCGCCACTCGGCGCGGCTACATTAACGGCACGGGCTGGACGGCAGAGTGTCAGGGGGCTGCTATTCACCAACCCATGGGACCAAACCGTGGTCAACAAAAAATTCGGATGTGGCGCCCCAATTTTTAAGGGAGTCTCACGGAAAAGTAGCGTAAGTTCTTCAAAAATTAGGGTGCCACATCCGAATTTTTCGGGTGAGTCATTCGAATTTTTTGTTGACTACGGTTTGGTCCCATGGGTTGGTGAATAGCACACTAATTTGTGGTAGAATTTTTTCTCAGTGTGGAAAATAATTGAAACAGTAATTTTTTCATGTAAGACAGATAGTTCCATCTATTGGTTATAAAAGTAAGGACGTCATAGTGTGGCGGATGGCAGTGAGGTGGGGACGGTGGTCTGTGTTGAGAACGGAATGGGGCTTCGACTATTACTCACCAGATGTCGCATTTCCACATCTCATGATATCGCATTATTGTAATGGCCGCCGTCAAGCGTTGTCGACGTACCTCTTGCTTACGACTACAAGTAATATCGAGTCATCGTTTCTCATTATCCCCAATTTGGTAAACGTTAAAAACTCTTGTCTTTGCAAAAGTGTGAACAATAAAAATAAAAATCCCATTAACATTTTGAATCATAAAAAAAAGACTCCGGATGACTCTGACATCTGAGTGTTACTTTCGATGTCTTCCACTGTTTATGCATCAACAACGGTCACTTGTATCCAAAAATCCACTCCTTAAACAAACACCATCAACGCCCATGTAAAAGTGTTTTATATATTTAAAACTCGAGAAGATGGATAACGAGGAATAAACAGTAAATATATAAACGTGATATTCAAAGTTTATTATCAGTGTTCCACAACGAATAAACAAATGTAATATCTACGTGAGAGTTTCAAGGATTGTAAGAAAGTGTATGAAGTTGAAAAGAAAGTAGGCAGAAAAAAAACAGAAAAGATTTTTATGCTGCGAAAACAAATTTTTACAAACATCTGAAATGACTGAATCCAACCGTATCACCACCGGTTGGATTTCCCCGAGTCTTCCGTACTGACCCAACTACTCTAAACAATGTTATCAAACGTGTCAGGTTCCTCAAATACTCCAGGACCACCGGAGAGCCCAGAAAATCCGCAGAATAATCTATCAGGTCTATCATGTTTCATAACAGAGAATGCTCCAACAGTTTCCCTGGACGACAAAAAGAAATTCTGGCCATCTCGAGATTCTCCAGTTGTCTCTACGTCTCCAACACATTCAGAAAGTGAAATTTATTCACCATCCAGTGATATTGCTGACACTCAACCAGTTAAACGTAACGATATTAACATGGGACAAAGTAGTAAAACTCCTTCGATACCAAAATCACCTCCACTTATTATCTCTGCACTCCAAAAATCCTCTTCGAACTCAAATTATCGAGTGATTAATGGTGCAACTAATGAGTTAGTAGATGAAAATAATTCAACATCTAGTGCTTCCATTTCAAATAGAAAATTATCAAACGATGGAATTAAGAATAAATCAATTGTTAAAAATAGTGTGCCAAATCGGAGATCGGCATTGACAATAAAAACCAGTGATGCGCTGGATGAAAAGTGTGGTGGAGAAGGTAAGGAATGTAACATAAGTGATTTAATGGATTATTCACCTGAAAAGATAAAAGAACACAAGGCGATCAATTTTGATACGGCGTGTGGACAATTCCTAGTGAAAGACTTTACGACCAGTGATGAGAGCAATCGAAAGTTTGATGTTGATAAAAGGCGAGGGAGGATGAGTGAAGAAACGAGGGAATGCGTTAGTAATTATCTACTAACACACTCAGAATTGCCCACTGAACTACAGTCTTCCCAGCGGTGTTACAAGGATAGAGAACGAACTACTGATCCTTGGAGGCCTACTGAGCTTGAGGGATCCCTTGGTTATGTGGAGAAGAGTATTGGGGAGAGTGATGGAAGCAAGAGAAGGACCGGTGCGTCTTGCCAAGCGTTAAGACATGCTGTTGCCTCATTGAATCGACTCGATGATTTTCATATGGAGAAAATTGGAGCTGGCTTCTTTTCTGAGGTTTATAAGGTAAACAAAAAATTCATTATATTCTTCCAACGAAAGCATTCATTTCCAAACTATATTCAACAATTCTTCTTTCGTGACGATTTTTTTTTATTTTGTAAAATTACAAATTTACATGGATTCGTTACTTGGACGAGTGGCTGTTGGCAATAGATTGTCAACTGTTAACGGTTGGGAATCTTAGGAAAACACTATCGAGATACTTGTCAAAAATTTGGGCACAAGCCAAGTCCTCCGTTGACATTTTCTTCGTGAAAGTAAGCGTTACAATTGATATGTACGATCAATGTTACATGTTGGATGTTAATTTTTTTTCAATCATATTCACGTGTTAGAAACGTGTAATAAGACTTTCTGATTGGAAAATTTTATGGTCCATAAGAAACGTTCCTTAACATTTTTGTTTAGAATTTCTAAATCCGATATCACCAATTCTAAAAGTTGGTTTAAACCGTTAGGGCATAAAGTTCTCTATATTACCTGTCATGCTTTTTATTTGTGTAATTATCGATAGATCACAACATGGAATTGATCATGAAATTCTTGAAGTACCGCGTTCTACCTATAGAACTTGATGTGTCACTTGAATTTAATTTTGTTAACCCAAAATATTTTTAAATTTGAGTTTCAAATTGTATTGCAGAAACCGCTCTAAAGCTTTTTTTCAAAAATCCTGAAAAAGAGCAAACTCGTTTAAGGATGACAGATCACGATATTAATTCTAAGGGACCTGCCAGATACGCAGAAATAGTAATTTGTGCTAGAAGGGATCAAAAGTAATTTATTAATATATTTTGATAAAATACGTTCCCAAAATACTTTTCAGCCCTTGTAGCATAAATAATAAAAAACATGCAGTGTATCATTGGTAACAGTTGATCGTGCATTTTAATTCCATAATGATATTGACTGTGAAATGTGTTCGTTTCTCGCACCATGCTGAGTGGTTAACTGTCTAGCTTCAACTATTTTTCTCTTAATTTGGCAGATCCCTTAGAATAAATGTTTCGATCTATCACCCATCAACAATTTGTACTCTTTTCTATCATTATTTTTTTATAACCTGGGTTTCCCCTACAAGATTCTAAACTTAAATTTAGAATTATTTTACATTATCAAAATTAAATTCAAATCAAAGATTCATTCGGTAAATAGCATTTGCAGGTTTTAATATCTTTTTGGGAATCTAGGACCGATGGATCTCGAATTTCAAAACTAGGTTTAAATCGTTATGAGGTAGAGTTGATCACAACGTGAAATTTATTTATTCTACTGCAGAATATACTAGAACGAGATAATTTTTAAGATTATCAAAAAATTCACAACTTTTTCATCAACTTTCATTTTCAACGAGGTTATTTTAGTAGAAAAATTGGATTTGTCATACGCAAGTTTTTTAAATAAATATTCTGGTTTTGAAGAACTATAACTTATTTCTTTGTCCGAGATCTCCGGATTTAAGAAATTATTTTGGAGAGGGAGATACCTAATACAATTTGCAATCTGAAAAACTTTTAGTGAGTGAATGTATTTACTCTGTCTAGAGACGGTTATAGATGGATAGGGAAAATCATTCCAGCAATCAAAATCGTTTTTCGGTTTAATCTTAGATTAAGGATATTCCACAATTCACCAAAGCCAAATTTCACGTTTTTCAATTTTTTTGACAGATTATCCATTGGATTGATCTGAAAAAATATAAAATTTTTGTGTTTTGTCATTATTTAATGACTCATGAAGTTTTGTGGTGGTGCGGTTATTTTCATGCATTTCCTCTACAATTTTGTGATTCTCATTAAAAGTTTAGAAAAAAAACGCAGAAAAATGTTCGCACCACATTGAATAAAGCCACAGCCCAAAAATTTTATATTTTTTCACATGAATCCCATAGTAAATTTACCAGAAAAATGAAAAAACGTTAATTTTGGTGATATATGGGTGCAGAACACTCTTAATCAGACAGACTTGATTGATTCATGATTTGAATAAGTCTCGTGGTTCATTCCGGTCTCGTGAATGAAATTCATTATCATTAATAAAAATAGAGTAACACCTTACCTTTTTTGTAAACTAGTTTTCGAGTGCAACTTGAAATGAGATATTTGAAAATAACATAGAAAGGAAGAAGAGCACGTGTGATGAGTAATGTAGAGGTGGTACTTTGAAAATAGATCTTGTGGACAAGAATTTTGCAGCAACGTGGACTCACTCAAATCCTCTTTCCTCGTTTTCGACGTAGGTACTTGCATTATGGAATAATCATCAAAATTATCTCACATACTTACTAAATATTCTAAGTATTCTAACTAGATTAAAACCAACAAACTACAACAAATTATTGGAATCGATTCGCCTTTACGAATGAGTGATTATCATGGAGAATAGAATTGAACAATTTATGAATTGTGATTAATCAATTTACATTTATTCCAACAGAATTGTTTTGTATTATTCCATTTTTCCAGCTCTGTTTGCACCTCCGACGTTTACCTTTACATTCAATGGCTGACGATGCTCTTTCCTTGAGAGTGTCAATAGAGCATGGGGAAATATTCGTCAATTTTTTTATACTTGGCTTCTTGTTTGCAAGGATACAGTTATATGCGTCGAGTTTTTTTTACTCGAGACATTTTGCTGGCAAATAAAAAATGAACGAATGTTTGCGAATGTTTGGCACAGACAATGTCACAATATTTACCCATCCATAATGTATTTATTCTTATCGATATCTATCGAATTTTCACTTGAAAATGATTAAACAACTGTTTTGTATGAGTATGAGCCTTCGGTTAATTAATTAATGCTCATTATAGTTCAGAAAAAAATTGTGAAATTGTACCGGAAAACCCGTGCCAATTTACAGTTTCTTTGAGATCTGCAGCATTCCAAATTTTAACGTAATATATGAGCATTACGCAACTGAAATGCCAGACGGTGTCTTGTTGAATCATTCGTGATTCAAATCGGTAACTTATAATCTTAAGACTGCAGTAAAGATTGAAGTTTTGCAACTAAATATTGGGGTTATTTCTGCGATAGATGGTGGAGGGGGTACGAAATTCTTCATTCCGTGAAAAGATAATTCCGGGATCGCCGCATACTGAGAGTACCCGAGCGTAACCAACTCGGAAATTTTCTAAGCGAGAAGAAACCAATTAACCTGAATGTATCACTTTAGATGTGTGAACAAATCTGTGTGTCTTCATGATTGAAATTGACTTCAAACTTTTAACTTGATGAACCCCAATGATTTCAGATGTAATGAAGTCACTGAATTTAAAATGAACAGCACATTATGCACCAAGCCGGGGAAGCAAACGCGAAGCCGCGTTCTTTCTGTCATCAAATCACAAAAGGAATGTGGGTTATGTCATCCCGACGATCCTCAAAAATCACTGAAATCTGAGGGATAGCATTTTCCTTGTTACATCCAAATTAACAGCTTAACTTGTTGAAGTTATTTTTCATAGTATGTTACTCAGACGATAGTTGAAATAACTGAAAAGGTCAAAAGGGGCGGTCCACGGTACTCGAAAATTTATGACTTTGTCGAGTTATGCTTTAAAAATCCTGTTTATTTATTATCAACTTGAATGTCTACAAATTAAATAAATGCCGACATTTAGACGACGTTTGGAAGGTATTCCCTGGGATACCTTTTAAGAGAAAGAAGATAAGTAGCCCCTCTCTTACAATCTATAACATACTCTTTTTCATGGTTTAATTAGAAGTTCACTTCCGTCCTCTTGATGTCTTTCGTCTCATATTGATGGGTTGGCGAAAGAAAAATGGGATTTTAACTTGAATTCACGAGTCTAGTTTAGATTATGCCATCGAGAACTGGCTCATTAACTGGGTTGAAGGGTTGGAGCTAATGTCGTTTTAGAAATTGATGCTTGAAGACACTTTTCACCATCTGCATGCCTGCCTTCTAGCATTCAGCAATTCATCATCGCTGATGATTACGTTGATCAAGTCCTTCAGAATGAGACAATCCCAGGATTTCAAATTCGGATTGATGTCATTATCATTTTGCAGAAGTATGGCATCCCCATGCCAAATGAGGATGTTGACATCTCTTCTCTATATTTGAAAGGGATTAGAAAACCGATGAAATGTCAAAATTTGAGTGACCTTGAAGTGGCCTGTAAAGTCAATATTCTCTATGTCCCTGCGTCCTCGTACTCACGATGAAGAAATAGATAGAGCAGCATGCAGCAATGCTTTAACCAAATGGATGATATCTTTCAATCAAAAAACACTGAAAGACATTTCAGGATGTCCTGGAACTCTCATCAGTAGGTGGTATAATGTAATTTTCTCCGAAGAGTGGAATTTAGACTGTTAATTAAGGGAAAATAAATCCACTATAGACGATCAACGATAGATAATATTTATTTGCTGAAGTGTTAGTGGAAGTGCTAGGTATATATGAAAAGTAAAGTAATTTGAGGACTGCGGGATAAGAGGAGTACCATTCAACTGAATCAAGCCGATATTCGCTACTGTCCAGAGATGTGAAAAGTATCCTCTGGATGCACGGGAGTGTGTCTGTGTTTGTAGAGTAAGATACTATGAATGCCCCTGTGAGTAAAGTCAAACCGTGTGCTACACAATGACTTGAAAATTTTTCGTCTGTGTTGAACAATTGGGGAAGTAATTCGCATTGGCTCACTTCAACACGCAGCGCTCAGCTCGAACTTGACAAAATGACGGACTTATTTAGGGACTGAGCAAGCATTACCAATTAGGGTAGACGTCTTTCTCCAGCTTCATGAAGACTTCCAAGATCAATCTGAACATGTGGACGAAGATGTCATATAATGTATGGAGTGAGAAGATTTTACGAACACAGGAGACTAATTGCATTGTAATTGAATGATTTCATGCTAAAGTAGATTGTGGCCATCAGTTTTTTTCGGTTGCTTATCCCTTTTTCCATGATTTGTAATAGTGCATTCCACTGTGTACGATCGCAAAGGGTCGGGCGAAACGCTGGAAAT